ATATGTGTTTTGTGTGTGTGTATATGTGTATATGTGCGTGTGTATATATTTCTACATATATGTGTGTTTGTGTGTATGTGGCTGTGCGCATGTGTTGTAATGTATTTTTGTTTTTTGGCTTTTTAAGTCACTTCCACTGTGTTTTTCAGTGCTTTTATGAGTGATGGTCAATTGTTGGCCCAATAGGTGTATTGTGTCCAAATTTGGTGTTAATTCATCCAGTGGTTTTTGAGTTATGTTAATCCCACAAACGAACATTACATTTTATTTATATTTTATTTATTTAAATTTTATTTAAATAAATTTTATATATATATATGAGTTATGTTAATCCCACAAATGAACATTACATTTTTATTTATATTTTATTTATTTATATTTTATTTATTAATAAAAATAAATAAAATTTATTTATTTAGTTTTTGAGTTATGTTAATCCCACAAAGGAACATTACATTTGTATTTATATTTTATTTATTTAAATCTTATTTATTAATTTCAATTCTCTTAGCAATTGGAAGTCAGGGGAAAATTGGGGGGGGGGGAGGATAGAGAAACCGGGACATTAGAAAGGCTGCTGTCAAAATGGAAAGGCATAGGATGAATTGGGAGCGTTCCTGCCAAATCAGGATTTCATGTAAAATATCTGCAAGTATCAAGGATGGAGCTGACGCTGGTGAAAGACTTCTCGGAGGCAATGCTAGTGACGTCGTAACTTGAAAATCTTGCATTTATTGGGTGGCATTAAGTTGAAAGGATGGGAAACAGCGAAGAGGGCTTCCTTGGAAACAAGTTCCTCCCAATCTGAGCAGTCAGCTTTGATAAACACATATTTTTGGTTAACTACTCTGTACAATGTGCATCGATTCCTCTCTTTTGATCCACTCCCCTCTGCTGGACAAGTGCGGCATGGTACCATTGATTCAACAGTGAGCAACCAGCCTTGTTTTGAGATAAGCTATATGTTTTATTGCTTACCTCTCCTCCCAATTTGTCAGGGACAGTCCAGATAAGCTCTCCCTAAGCCCAGCTGATTTTAAAAATGTCTTTCCTTCCTTCCTGCTCCTTAAAATACTGGGGAACTAAGTGGAAGAACTACAATTCCCAAAATCTCATGGGTCAATCCTCCACAAACCAGGCCTGTATGCACAGCTGGCCCTGTTGCATCTGTGTGCTAAGTTTGGTCCAGATCTGACATTGGCTGGGTCAAGTGCTCTCTGGATACAGGGGAACTACAACTCCCACGTGGGTTGGTCATTCCCTCCCCAACCCCTCTAGTATCTTCTGTTGGTCGTCAGGATCCTGTGTGCCATGTGTGCTCCAGATCCGCCATTGGAAGTTTTGGAATGCTCCCTGGGTGCAGGGTGAACTACAACTCCCACGTGGGTTGGTCATTCCCTCCCCAACCCCTCTAGTATGTTCTGTTGGTCGTCAGATCCTCCGTGACATGTGTGCTCCAGATCTGCCATTGGGAGCTTCAGAATGCTCTCTGGGTGCAGGGTGAACTACAACACCCATGTGGGTGGGTCATTCCCTCCCCAACTCCTCTAGTATGTTCTGTTGGTCGTCAGGATCCTGTGTGCCATGTGTGCTCCAGATCCGCCATTGGAAGTTTTGGAATGCTCCCTGGGTGCAGGGTGAACTACAACTCCCACGTGGGTTGGTCATTCCCTCCCCAACCCCTCTAGTATCTTCTGTTGGTCGTCAGGATCCTGTGTGCCATGTGTGCTCCAGATCCTCCATTGGGAGCTTTGGAATGCTCCCTGGGTGCAGGGTGAACTACAACTCCCACGTGGGTGGGTCATTCCTTCCCCAACCCCTCTAGTATCTTCTGTTGGTCGTCAGGATCCTGTGTGCCATATGTGCTCCAGATCCGTCATTGGGAGCTTTGGAATGCTCCCTGGGTGCAGGGTGAACTACAACTCCCACGTGGGTTGGTCATTCCCTCCCCAACCCCTCTAGTATCTTCTGTTGGTCGTCAGGATCCTGTGTGCCATGTGTGCTCCAGATCCGCCATTGGAAGTTTTGGAATGCTCCCTGGGTGCAGGGTGAACTACAACTCCCACGTGGGTTGGTCATTCCCTCCCCAACCCCTCTAGTATCTTCTGTTGGTCGTCAGGATCCTGTGTGCCATGTGTGCTCCAGATCCGCCATTGGGAGCTTTGGAATGCTCTCTGGGTGCAGGGTGAACTACAACTCCCACGTGGGTGGGTCATTCCCTCTTCAAACCCTCTAGTATGTTCTGTTGGTCATCAGGGTACTGTGTGCCATGTGTGTTCCAGATCCGCCATTGGGGGCTTCAGAATGCTCTCTGGGTGAAGGGTGAACTACAACTCCCACACGGGTGGGCTAGTCCTCCCTGTGTATAGATATTGTACTTTGATTTTAAACAATAGGTTTCTACCACCCATTTTTATGGGCAAGCCACAAATTTTGGGTATAACCAGGACCAATGCCCAGTTGGTTAGGCTTTGATGGGCAGGCGTGTTTACCCAGTAAAGCATGTTTTCCTTAGCATGCGTGTGGGCGTAGGTAAAGAAGCAACTAATCTCATTTCAAGAGGTTTTATATTTGACAGTTAATTAATGTGATTGCGTAGGTAAGCAGCCGAAACGAGGTTCTTGACATACAAGATTAGTGAGAGCGTGTTGGATGGCTTTTGCTCCATGGGTCATCCTAGCAACCTCCAGGTTTGGGGCTGATAACTTCACTGCTATGATGCACGAGGATTAATGTTTAACCCGCAGTTTGGGTAGCGTTGTCGAAACGGTTGTCGAAACAGGAATGGGATGGTTGCGCCTTCCTGCTGGAACATCAAACTCAGCTCAGCGCCACTGGGATCGGAAGAGTGAAAATTGGTGGTATGTCTTTGGAAGGCAAGGCAAGCGTTACATGAGCGAGAGTGGAGAGCCCTTGAGCACTTTGGCAACCCATCAAAGCTGTGGTTTAGAGGGTCTTCTGAAGAAACAGAATCTCCTTGGGCAAGTTCTGGACTTACTTAAGAAGCCGACCACTGGGCTCATGTAAACACAGAGCTTTCTGTTGGACTCAAGGTTCCAGCCTTTCAGTCTTGACTCATGACTCTGGGTCAGACCTTCAGCTCTGACCTTCTACTGAGACTCCTGATTCTGCCTTTAGCTTGGATTCCTGGACCTGACCATCTGCTGGGACTCCTGATTCTGCCTTTAGCTTGGATTCCTGGACCTGACCTTCTGCTGGGACTCCTGATTCTGCCTTTAGCTTGGATTCCTGGGCCCGACCTTCAGCAGGGACTTCTGATTTTGCCTTTAGCTTGGATGCCCAAACCTGACCTTCCGCTGGGACTCCTGATTCTACTTGGATACCTGGACCTGACCTTCTGCTGGGACTCCTGAATCTGCCTTTAGCTTGGATTCCTGGACCTGACCTTCAGCCGGGACTTCTGATTCTGCCTTTAGCTTGGATTCCTGGACCTGACCTTCAGCCGGGACTCCTGATTCTGCCTTTAGCTTGGATTACTGGACCTGACCTTCAGCCAAGACTCCTGAACCTGACCTTCAGCTGGGACTCCCGATTCTGCTTTTAGCTTGGATTCCCAAACCTGACCTTCAGCCGGGACTTCTGATTCTGCCTTTAGCTTGGATTCCTGGACCTGACCTTCAGCCGGGACTCCCGATTCTGCTTTTAGCTTGGATTCCTGGACCTGACCTTCAGCCAGGACTTCTGATTCTGCCTTTAGCTTGGATTCCTGGACCTGACCTTCAGCCGGGACTCCCGATTCTGCTTTTAGCTTGGATTCCTGAACCTGACCTTCAGCCGGGACTCCCGATTCTGCTTTTAGCTTGGATTACTGGACCTGACCTTCAGCCAAGACTCCTGAACCTGACCTTCAGCCGGGACTTCTGATTCTGCCTTTAGCTTGGATTCCTGGACCTGACCTTCAGCCGGGACTCCCGATTCTGCTTTTAGCTTGGATTCCTGGACCTGACCTTCAGCCAGGACTTCTGATTCTGCCTTTAGCTTGGATTCCTGGACCTGACCTTCAGCCGGGACTCCTGATTCTGCCTTTAGCTTGGATTCCTGAACCTGACCTTCAGCCGGGACTTCTGATTCTGCCTTTAGCTTGGATACTGGACCTGACCTTCAGCCGGGACTCCTGATTCTGCCTTTAGCTTGGATTACTGGACCTGACCTTCAGCCAAGACTCCTGAACCTGACCTTCAGCCGGGACTTCTGATTCTGCCTTTAGCTTGGATTCCTGAACCTGACCTTCTGCCGGGACTCCCGATTCTGCTTTTAGCTTGGATTCCTGAACCTGACCTTCAGCCGGGACTTCTGATTCTGCCTTTAGCTTGGATTCCTGGACCTGACCTTCAGCCGGGACTCCCGATTCTGCTTTTAGCTTGGATTCCTGAACCTGACCTTCAGCCGGGACTCCCGATTCTGCTTTTAGCTTGGATTACTGGACCTGACCTTCAGCCAAGACTCCTGAACCTGACCTTCAGCTGGGACTCCCGATTCTGCTTTTAGCTTGGATTCCCAAACCTGACCTTCAGCCGGGACTTCTGATTCTGCCTTTAGCTTGGATTCCTGGACCTGACCTTCAGCCAAGACTCCTGAACCTGACCTTCAGCCAGGACTCCTGATTCTGCCTTTAGCTTGGATTCCTGGACCTGACCTTCGGCCGGGACTTCTGACTCTGCCTTTAGCTTGGATTCCTGGACCTGACCTTCAGCCGGGACTCCCGATTCTTCCTTTAGCTTGGATTCCTGGGCCTGACTTTCAGCCGGGACTTCTGATTCTGCCTTTAGCTTGGATTCCTGAACCTGACCTTCTGCCGGGACTCCAAGTACAGACCTTCCACTTTGACTCCCAATCCTGAATCCTGGATCCAACCTTCAGCTCCAACTCCCAAGTTCAGACCTTCACAGTTGACTCTTGACTTTGACTTTCTATTGGACCCTTGCCACCCTCCTTCTGCCTCTCTACCTTCCCTCTGTCTTCTGCACTTCATCTCCATCATGACCAGAAACCAGAATTGCCACAACCAGACGGCTCATATCTGGACCAGGGAGCTGGTGCTTTCTTTGGGCATCCCCCACATCATCATGACCATCATTTCTGTGGTCTTCAACTCTGCTGTCATCTTGGCCGTCATGTGCGCCAAGGATCAGCAGAAGCCCATCTTCCTCCTCTTCTGCAACCTGGCCCTCTCTGACCTCCTCTCCAGCGCCTCAGGCTTCTGGGTTGCCCTCTTCTTCATGCGCGATCCTCAGAGCACCGTGGTCGGCTCCCGCAAGATCCTCCGGCTCTATGCCTTCTACGCCGTGCCCATCCTTGCCACCATCTACAACTTGGTGGCCATTGGCATCGAGCGGTACTTGGCCCTGGCTGAGAAGAGGTGGGCGAGGCGACGTATCACCCGAAACCAGGTGTTAGGCATCGTGTTGGCGATCTGGTTGGTGGCCCTCTTCCTCGGCTTCATGCCCTTGATGGGGTGGAACTGCTTGGGCACGGACAACGTCTCAACCCTCTACAGTCCACTATGCGTCGGCTATCTTGCCTTCATCACTATCCCCCACAGCACCGTCTCCTTCATTATCCCGTTCTTCACTTACTTGAGCATCATCCTATTCTTGAGGAAGCACAAGGTCTCCATGGGTGCGTTGGGTCAAGCCCGTTCGGTTGGCCGCCTCGCCGAGATCCAAGTGGCGCGGACCAGCATCCTGATCTGGATCACGGCCTTGCTATCATACATGCCTTTCTTCGTGGCCGTGGTGCTCGACTTGGCCATGCCGCACTGCCCCACAGACCTCCCGCTCGGCATCTACATCTTCCGGAACCTGACTTCCACAATGATTGCCATCAATTCGTTGGGGAACCCCATCATCTACACGCTCAATGTGAAACGGTTGGGCCGCATGATCAAGGCCTTGAAGCAGCCTTCCATCAATCGCATTGATGTTCAGGTCGTTGAGAAGATGTGAACTCCCTCTGGACAATGACATCAGGCCCGTATGGAGTTGAAGCAAAAAATCTTGAAATATAGAAATACAGGAACAACCCCCACTAAATCAATGGCTATTAGTGTTCCCTCGCTATTTCACGGTTCGCTTTTCACAGATTAACTCTTTCGCGGTTTTCCTTTCTTGCTACTCACCAGGCCAAATCCTGCCTCTGCCACCGGGATGCAGCCTGGTGAGTAGCAAGCGAGCAAGGGAGGGCGGGTGAGCGACCGAGGAAGGGAAGGCTGCAAAGTCTGATCTGGCCACAGTGGTGCACGCTCTTGTTACATCCCAAATAGATTACTGCAACACGCTCTACGCGGGGTTGCCTTTGAAGACTGTTCGGAAACTCCAACTAGTCCAATGGGCGGCAGCTAGATTACTCACTGGAGCGTCGTACAGGGAGCACACCACCCTCCTGTTATGTCAGCTCCACTGGCTGCTGGTCCAGTTCTGAGCACAATTCAAAGTGCTGGTCTAGACCTATAAAACCCTATACGGTTCTGGCCAAGCGTATCTGTCTGAATGTATCTCCTTCTACATCCCACCTCAGAGTTTAAGATCTTCTGGGGAGGCCCTGCTCTTGGCCCCATCTCTATCACAAGTGAGGTTGGTGGGGGGGGACAGGGCCTTCTCGGTGGTGGCCCCCGCCTGTGGAATTCACTCCCTGGTGAAATTAGATTATCAACGTCCATCCTTTCCCTTAGAAAGAAGTTAGAAACGTGGATGTGGGACCAGGCCTTCGGGTAATCTTGCTGACAATGACAGTGACAATGATGACAATCACTATGGAAATGGACTGTGGACATGCTTGATGGAGTCTCTAACTACAGAATTCAGCTCAAATAAGGTCACCAGGCTGTTGTTGAAACAGAAACAGATTTTAATTAATTAATGCGATTTAATGTTTTGAATGTATGTAATTATTGGATTTTATTATGTATTTTATTATGTGTACATTGGAGGCATCGAATTGTTGCTGGCTGGAAGCCACCCTGAGTCGTGTCGGGGTACAAATTCCTGAAATAAATAAATAAATAAATTCCAGGCTCCTGTGTCCCTACTTCACAGATTTTCACTTTTCGCGGGTGGTCTTGGAACGTAACCTCTGTGATAAGTACTCCAAGGGAAGGAAAATGGTCCAGATCCTTAGTCAATTGGGTTCAAAGTGTTCTCTTGATATGGGTGAACTATAACTCCTAAACTCGAAGGCCAATTCCCTCCAAACTAAATTAAAAATTGGTCATGCTGAGTTTGGTTGGTTGGGTGCACAGTAATCTCTGGATACAGTAATCTGCACAGTAATCTCTTTTTCTTTCCTCCCTTCCCAAAAAATGAAAGAATGAAGGGGTGCAATTCCCGCTGTGGCCACAGGATGGCAGCAAATGATTGCCCATTGCAGCTGGGGAGTCCTATTGGCTTTAATGATGAGGCAGAATATCAAGGAGGGTGCAATTTCCTCTGTGTATACATATATGCATGCGCACATTTATATATACATATATATGTAGGTGTATACATGTATGCATGTGTACATATACACATATACACACATATATGTAGGTGTATATATGCATATAGATGTAGGTATATACATATATGCACGTGTACACACACATATATACACATATATGTAGGTATTACTTACTTAGACAATCCCTCGTAGACCGAGGATGATGGTTCTCCAAGTGTAGTATCCTGCCGGTGGGTCCGTAGGTGACTGTGGAGCCCTATTTTTGACCTGCATGTTCTCCTGCAGTGAGAGAGCATCGGTTTCCAGGTGGAAGGCGGTCCCAGTTGGGGTTGGCTTAATGCGCCTTCCTCTTGGCACGTTTCTCTCTTTCGCCCTCCATTCATGCCTCTTCAAATTCTGCAGCACTGCTGGTCACAGCTGACCTCCAACTGGAGCTCTCAAGGGCCAGGGCTTCCCAGTTCTCAGTGTCTATGCCAGAGTTTTTAAGGTTGGCTTTGAGCCATCTTTCAATCTCTTTTCCTGCCCACCAACATACTGTTTTCCATTCTTGAGTTCAGAATAGAAGGTATATATACATATAAATGTAGGTGTATACATGTATGTAGGAACCTCCGGTGGCGCAGTAGGTTAAAGCGCTGAGCTGCTGAACTTGTTGACCAAAAGGTCGCAGGTTCGAATCCGGGGAGCGGCATGATCTCCCGCTGTTAGCCCCAGCTTCTGCCAACCTAGCAGTTTGAAAACATGCAAATGTGAGTAGATCAATAGGTACCTCTCTGGCCTGGAAGGTAAGGGTGCTCCATGCAGTCATGCCGGCCACATGACCTTTGAGGCGTCTATGGACAACGCCGGCTCTTTGGCTTAGAAATGGAGATGAGCACCAGAGTCCCAGAGTCGGACACCACTGGACTTCATGTCAGGTGAAACCTTCACCTTTACTATACATGTATGCATATGTACATATACACACATATACACACATATATGTAGGTGTCTATATACGTAGGTGTATACACATATGCATGTGTACATATATACATATATACACATATATGTAGGTATACATACACATACATGTAGGTCTATACATGTATGCATGTGTACATATACACAGATATATGTAGGTGTATATATACATGTATATGTAGGTGTATACATATATGCATGTGTTCATATACACATATATACATACATATGTAGGATATACATACATATGTGTACATATACACAATACACACATATATGTAGGTGTCTATATACATATACATGTAGGTGTATACATGTATGCATGTGTACATATACACAGATATATGCAGGTGTATATATACATGTATATGTAGGTGTATACATATATGCATGTGTTCATATACACATATATACATACATATGTAGGTATACATACATATGTGTACATATACACAATACACACATATATGTAGGTGTCTATATACATATGCATGTAGGTCTATACATGTATGCATGTGTACATATACACAGATATATGTAGGTGTATATATATTTATTTATTTATTTATTTATTTAGTACACTTGTATACCACTAATATCTCAGCCTAAAACGGCGACTCATTGCGGTTTACAATATTAAAAACAACAATATTCCGATAAAAATATAAAACACATACATATACAATACACAGTATTGGGCCACCAATACAGACCAATGCATCTCTTAACTTAAATCATAATCCAATTTCGTTGTCTGTAATTACCAGTCCTTGATCAAAACTTCATCGCATCGGATTAGCCGAATGCTTGCTCAAACATCCATGTTTTCAGTTTTTTTCGAAATGCCATCAGCTACATATATGCATGTGTTCATATACACATATATACATACATATGTAGATATACATACATATGTGTACATATACACAATACACACATATATGTAGGTGTCTATATACATATACATGTAGGTGTATACATGTATGCATGTGTACATATACACAGATATATGCAGGTGTGTGTATATATATATATGTAGGTGTATACATATATGCATGTGTACATATACACATATATACATATATATATAGGTAATATATGCATATGTGTACATATACACACATATATGTAGGTGTCTATATACATATACATGTAGGTGTATACAAGTATGCATGTGTACATATACACATATATATGTAGGTGTGTGTATATATATATATGTAGGTGTATACATATATGCATGTGTACATATACACATATATACATATATATAGGTATATATGCATATGTGTACATATACTCACATATATGTAGGTGTCTATATACATATATATGTAGGTGTATACATGTATGCATGTGTACATATACACAGATATATGTAGGCGTGTGTATATATATATATATATGTAGGTGTATACATATATGCATGTGTACATATACACATATACTCACATGTATGTAGGTGTCTATATACATATACGTGTAGGTGTATACATGTGTGCATGTGTACATATACACACATATATGTAGGTATTTATATGTAAACATATACACATATGTAAATATATTTGAAAACGTATATATGCAGGTGTGTGTATACGTGCATATACATATATGCATATGTACATATCCTATCCTATCCGATTTGTCCTGGATCCACTCCTTTGAGCTTCATGCAAATCTACCATTTTTCCAAAATATAAGACATAAACATACAGAAATGTATAGATGACTAGAATTAACCTGAACGGCTGTCAGGCATTGTGGGAACTGAAGTCCAACACGCCTGCTCTCCAGGCTCTCTGTGGAGCTTTTCCTGGTTGTTCAAACTCCAACTCCCAGAATCCTTTGCCGCGCCGGCGAATGGCAAGGCCTGAAGTCCTTCTGCGAGGCCAGGCTGCTTTGGCCCCGCCCCTTTCCCCCGCTTCCGCTCAGGAGGCGAGGAGGCCGGAAGTGAGCGCGCTGACAGGAGCCGGGCAAGATGGCGCTGCGGCCGGGCCTGGGGGCTGGGCCCGGCGCTCCCTCCGCCGCCTCTCCTCCGGCGCCGGGCGGACCGGGAGGAGGAGGAGGAAGGAGCCCCGGCCCGGGCAGGTCAGCAGGCCCAGGCGGGCAGGAGGGAGGCGGGAAGGGAGAGGCATTGAAGGGAGAAGGTCCTGAAGGAGGCTTTGAAGGGAGACTGTCTTAGATGGAGAAGGCCTCGGATGGAGAAGTTCTTGAAGAGAAGGGAGAAGGCCTCAACGGGAGAAAGCTTTAAAGGGAAGACGGTCTTAAAGAGAGAAGGACTTGAAGGGAAGGGAGAAGGCCTCAAAAGAGAAAACCTTAAAGGGAAAAGGCCTCGAAGGGAAGGGAGAAGGTCTTGAATAGAGAAGGCCTCCGAAGGAGAAAGCCTTGGAGAAGGCCTTGAAGGGAAGGGAGAGGCTTTGGAGGGAGAAGGCCTCGAATTATTATTATTATTAGGTTCTTGTGGTTTTTTTCGGGCTATAGGGCCATGTTCTAGAGGCATTTCTCCTGACGTTTCGCCTGCATCTATGGCAAGCATCCTCAGAGGTAGTGAGGTCTATTGGATGCTTCTGAGGATGCTTGCCATAGATGCAGGCGAAACGTCAGGAGAAATGCCTCTAGAACATGGCAATATAGCCCGAAAAAACCCACAAGAACCTAGTGATTCCAGCCATGAAAGCCTTCGACAATTATTATTATTATTAGTATTTATACCCCGCCACCATCTCCCCAACAGGGACTCGGGGCGGCTAACATGAGGCCAAGCCCAAACAATTGCAACAAATCAAAATAAAATACACACAGTAATTAATAACATCAAATGAAATATAAACAAAACAACTTAATACAAAACCAATACCCTGCGGTGGCGCAGTGGGTTAAAGCACTGAGCTGCTGAGTTTGTTGATCGAAAGGTCGCAGGTTCGATTCCGGGGAGTGGCATGAGCTTCCGCCAACCTAGCAGTTCGAAACCATGCACATGTGAGTAGATCAATAGGTACCGCTCCAGCAGGAAGGTAACGGAGCTCCATGCAGTCATGCCGGCCACATGACCTTGGAGGTGTCTACGGACAACGCTGGCTCTTCGGCTTAGAAATGGAGATGAGCACCACACCCCAGAGTCAGACATGACTGGACTTAATGTCAGGGAACTACCTTTACCTTTAATACACAAAAATGAAATAAGAAAACAAAAAATGGAAAGGCCTTGAAGGGAGAAAGTCTTGGAGAGAAAAGGCCTCGGGAGGAGAAAGCCTTGGAGAAGGCCTTGAAGGGAAGGGGAATAATAATCATCATCATAATACTTTATTCATACCTTGCCACCATCTCCCCAACGGAGGTCTCGGGGTAGCTAACATGAGGTCAAGCCCAAACAATTACAACAAATCAAAATAAAATACATACACCAGTTAATAACATCAAATGAAATATAAACAAAACAACTTAATACAAAATCAATACACAAAAATGAAACAAGAAAACAAAAAATGGGAAGGCCTTGAAGGGAGAAAGCCTTGGAGAGAGAAGGCCTCGGAAGGAGAAAGCCTTGGAGAAGGCCTTGAAGGGAAGGGAGAACACCTTGAAGGAAAGGTAGAGGCTTTGGAAGGAGAAGGCCTCGAAGGGAAGGGAGAATAATAATAATCATCATCATAATACTTTATTTATACCCTGCCACCATCTCCCCAACGGGGACTCGGGGCGGCTAACATGAGGCCAAGCCCAAACCATTACAACAAATCAAAATAAAATACATACACCAGTTAATAACATCAAATGAAATATAAACAAAACAACTTAATACAAAATCAATACACAAAAATGAAATAAGAAAACAAAAAAGAGAAGGCCTCGAAGGGAGAAGGCTTTGAAAGGAAGGGAGAAAGCCTTGGAGGGAGAAAGCCTAGAGGGGAAGGGAGAAGGCCTTGAAAGGAGAAGGTCTTGAAGGAAGAAGGTCTTGAAGAGAGAAGGCCTCGAAGGGAGAAAGTCTTGGAGAAGGCCTTGAAGGGAAGGGAGAGGTGAGCAAAATGCCACAAGCAGGGCCCACTCCTGCTCAGGATCTTCATTCATGACTGAGATGAAGGGTGAGAAGGCAGGATCATCGAGTTTGAAGATGACACCAAATTGGGAGGGAGAGCCAATACTCCAGAAGACAGGATTCAAAACGATCTTAACTGATTAGAGAGATGAATGGCCAAAACTAACACAATTAAGTTCAACAGGGACAAATGCAAGATACTCCACTTAGGCAGGAAAGAAAGGAAATGCAGAGATACAGAATGGAGGACGAGGCCTGGCTCGACAGCAGGACGTGTGGAAAAGATCTTGGAGTCCTTGTGAGGAGGAAGGGGAACAGGAGCCAAGAACATGATGCAGTGGCAAAAAATGCCAATGGGATTTTGACCTGCATCAATAGGAGTCTAGTGTCTAGATCCAGGGATGTCATGCTCCACATGCTCTCTTCTGCCTTGGTTAGACCACACCTGGAATACTGTGTCCAATTCTGGGCACCACAATTGAAAGGAGATGTTGACAAGCTGGAATGTGTCCAGAGGAAGGCGACTAAAATGATCAAAGCTCTGGAGAACAAGCCTTATGAGGAGCGGCTTAAAGAGCTGGGCATATTTAGCCTGCAGAAGAGAAAACTGAGAGGAGACGTGATAGCTATGTATAAATAAGTGAGAGGAAGTCATAGGGAGGAGGGAGCAAGCTTGTTTTCTGCTTCCCTGGAGACTAGGACGCAATGGAACAATGGCTTCAAACTACAAGAAAGGAGATTCCATCTGAACATTAGGAAGAACTTCCTGACTGTGAGAGCTGTTCAGCAGTGGAACTCTCTCACTGCTTTGGAGTGTGGTGGAGGCTCCTTCTTTGGAGGCTTTTGAACAGAGGCTGGATGGCCATCTGTCGGGGGTGCTTTGAACGCGATTTTCCTGCTTCTTGGCAGAATGGGGTTGGACTGGATGGCCCATGAGGTCTCTTCCAACTCTATGATTCTATGATTCTAAGGCCTTGAAGGGAGAAGGCCTTTTCTTTGGCTATAATTAATAAGAGTGGTTTTCCTCCCCTCTTCCTTTATCGATGCTTATAAATAAGTCACGGCTTTTCTAGAAAGCTTTGCATGTTTAATGGCTGGGCCTTTCTTTGCTCACTGCACGAAATGGTAACCGGAGTTGCCTGGCCTGGTTGCGCTTCACAACCAGTTGTGTGCTCGTCTCTTTCAAATAGGTGAGGAAGGTAAGCTTCCATGTTGAGTGAGCGTCAACGCGAACATAATTTCAGCAGGGGGATTTTAATGGGACATGTTGATTTAAAGGCTTGAACGAAGGCATGTTAATCTCACTCTGGCATACTTTACGGTTAATTCAAGAGTACACATTGCTGTTTTTGATCTGCTAGGTGGGCGGGGAGCTGGTCTGAAGGTCAGGAGCTCACCCTAACCTGGCTTCGAACTGTCAGTCTTCCAGTTGGCAAGATTTACTGCAGCTGGTATTTAACCTGCTGTGCTAAAGCTAGCCCTTATCATTAAAACAGAGATTAAACACTATTAAAATACAAGATACACACAGTTAAAATGCAGGTTAAATGCAGCTAGTTAAAATTGACAGGTTTGGCGTGCCAGAAGACATGGATATTCAGTTACATCTTAAATTCTGACAGCTAATTTAGCTGTTGGATCTCTTCCACAGTAATTATTATTATTTATTATTTCTGGTATTTATATCCCATCTCTTCTCTACCCCCGAAGGGGGACTCAGGACGACTTACATTGGCAGCAATTCTCTTCCATAGTCATTCCACAGCCTTGGCATTGGATATTAGCTCTGTTTCTCAAATTGTAAACTCATGGCTTTTTCCCCTCCTCTTCTGTTCCAGCTTCATGTTTCCTGGTCTTGGTCCTCAAGGTACGTAGAACAAGGCAGTCACAGTTGAACCTCCATTCCCCTCAACACGCCTACTCTGCTTGGCAAGACTCCTAACCTTGTTTTGTTTTCTTGCTGCAGGGATGATCCCCATGCAACAGCAAGGCTTCCCAGTGGTTTCTGTCATGCAGCCCAACATGCAAGGCATGATGGGGATGAATTACGCAGCCCAGATGCCTCCCGGAACGATGGCCATGCAGGTTGGGAGTCACGAGAAAGTTGTATTGTCGAAGGCGTTCATGGCCAGAATCCCTGAGTTGTTGTGTGTTTTCCAGGCTGTCTGGCCATGTCCCAGAAGCATTCTCTCCTGACGTTTTGCCTGCATCTGTGACAGGCATTCTCCAAGGTTGTGAGGTCTGTTGGAAACTAGAAAGTCTACTGTATGGAGTCTACCATATACCATGCAGAAGTGGGCAAGTCTGCATAGGGACTCCCAAACTCAGCATTCCCCAAACATGAATCAAGGAACATGAAAGGCACTGCTGACTAATAATAATAATAATAATAATAATAATAATAATAATAATAAATTTATACCCCGCCCTTCTCACCCCAATGGGAAACTCTGGGCGGCTTATGGATCATGGCATACAATGCCGCATTACACATATAATAATAAACATGACATAATGATGATGATGGTGATGATGATGATTATTATACTAAATTTATCCTCTGCCCTTCTTATCACACATGGCTATTAGGGCTGGGTAACCACGGAAAAATTTGTTTCTAAACTCGATTCGTTTCCAGGGGGCGCTAGCGTTTCCAAATTCTAAATACTTCCGAAATTTTGAGATTTCAAAATTTCGAAATTTACGAAATTTCGTATGATTACAAATTGATTCATTAATGGCGGACGCGATTGTGCAATATGCTAAAAAAACCTCCAAATGGGACGGGGAACTTCTGGAGCTTCCCTCTCCCTCTGTTGTTGACTGTTGGTGTGATAATTTATTTTTTATCACTGATAAAACAAACAACAACTATAAAACTTGCACCAGACACACGGAAATAATTACGAAACAATTTCGAAACAATTTTGAAACAATTACAAAACAATACGAAATAAATTGGAAAAATTGTTTCGATTTTTAATTACTCCCCACACTATTCCTGCATGGCTCAATATCGGATCGTAAGCTAATTTAAATACGAATTAATAACGAATTACGAAATTAACGAACAAAAACCGCCCAGCCCTAATGGCTATTAGTATTAAAAATACCCCTCAAAAATCATAACTGTAAATAAAGAACAGCACTCAAAAGCTGAGAATTCCAGACAAGAAACAATCAGGGCCAATGAATCACCTCCCAACAAAGGATTCCCCTGGGCAGTAAGAAGCCACACCTTGAAAACTGCTAGGCCATTAAAGGCTACTCAAGCTGGCCAATTGCTAGATTATTTGTTTGTTTACAGTATTCATATTCCACCCTTCTCACCCCGCAGGGGACTCGGGGCGGATCATAATGCACATATACATGGTAAACATTCAATGCCATAGACACACAACATATATATACAGAGACAGAGGCTATTTAACTTTCCAGCTTCATGAGGGTATGCTTTTTGAATTTCGGGCACCGGGGGAGCTGTCGCTTCATCATTCACTTGTTTTCCTTTTTTTTTTTTTTTTGTCATGTCAAGAGCGACTTGGCCACACACCCCGGAAAACACACAACAACCAAAGAGAAAATTGTTTCTTGTGCTCTGGAGGGAGACTGGCTTCTTGCTAAAGCCCTCCTTGTGTTTGCAGGGCGGCATGCCTTTGGGTCACCTGCCAGCAGCTGGAATGCAGTTCATGGGGCAGGCTCCCTTCCTAGGAATGCGCCCCACAGCCCCTCAGTACACCCCGGATATGCGGAAGCAGTTTGTGGAGGAGCAGCAGTAAGTGAGGCGTCTGAGACACTCCGGTGGTTGTTCAAAAAATATTTTATAGAATATTTAAAATCAGTATTTAAAACTTGACTACTTGTTGTAGGAAACGATTTGAACACCAGCAAAAGTTTTTGGAGGAGGAAAGGAAACGGCGGCAGTTTGAAGAGCAGAAACAAAAGCTACGGCTATTAAGCAGCGTGAAACCAAAGGTATGTTACGTTTTTGTTGATCTCCTGTTGCATTTAATATTATGATACACTTCTTCCAAGCACAGAAAAATGAAAGAATAAAAAGGCATCGAACATTAGTAGAATCATAGTATGAACTACTGTATTTCCCTGAAAATAGGGTTGGAAATTATATTAATTTTTGCTCCAAAAGATGCATTAGAGCATATTTTCGGGGAATGGCTTATGTTTTTTCATGTGTAACAATTTTCATTTATTCATGTAAAAAAATCTACATTTATTCATATACATTCATGTCATCTTCTTTTGGAACATCATCCTTTTTTCTTTGTGTCAGGAGCAACTTGCAAAACTGCAAGTCGCTCCTGGTGTGAGAGAATTGGCCGCCTGCAAGGATTTTGCCCAGGGGCTGTCCGGATGTTTTACCATCCTGTAGAAGGCTTCTCTCATGTCCCCACATGGGAAGCTGGAGCTGACAGGTGGGAGCTCACCCCACTCCCTGGATTAGAATTGCCGGCCTTTCGGTCAGCAGTCCTGCCGGTACAAGGGTTTAACCCATTGCGTCACCGGGGACTCCTGATATGCTGTCAATAATATTGTTTATTTATTTATTTAAAACACTTATATTCCGCCCTTCCATTTTGGGGAAGAAGCGATGGGGCTGATTAACATCATGCACTTTCCCCCATCCTAAACTGAAAACCTACCTCACTGTTTATCCCTTTTGGGCTCCCCTCAATTACGTATTTTCCATTCCTACCTCATCCAGGGTTTTATCATTTTACTTCGTCCATTTGGCTTGCCCATTCTGTTTAGTTTTATATTGTGTCAATTTGCTTTATTTATTTTATTTTGCTACTATACATATTTTATTGTTATGTAATTTTTTGTTGTCTGCATTCTGTATTTTTATTTTGCTGTATTGTACCTTTGGGCTTGGCCTCACGTTAGCCGCCCCGAGTCCCCTTTGGAGAGATGGTGGCAGGGTATAAATAAAGGTGATGATGATGATGATGATGATTATTATTTGAAAAACAACAAGATGAGTCCACAGCAGACACTCTGCTGGCTGTTGTATTGGATCACACGTTAGACACTTCCCAAGTGTCTAGGACTGTGTGATGTATCGGCGAAGAATGCGTGCCGATCCCAGTAAGGTGGCCTTCTGCAGCTGGCAGAGGGTAATTTTGTCAGCGCCGATTGTGTTTAAGTGCAGGCCAAGGTCTTTAGGCACTGCACCCAGTGTGCCGATCACCACTGGGACCACATTTACTGGCTTGTGCCAGAGTCTTTGCAGTTCAATCTTTAAATCCTTATATCATGTCAGCTTTTCCTGTTGTTTCTCTGCAATCCTGTTGTCACCTGGGATTGCGACATCGACGATCCATATTTTGTTTTTTAACACGATTGTGAGGTCAGGAGTGTTGTGCTCCAGAACTCACTCTGTCTGAATTCGGATTATTATTATTATTATTATTATTATTAGCAATTGGTTAGCCTATCTGTTGGTGAAGGTGCTGCGTTTTCAACCGAAGTTGCAAATACTGTTTCAGATGGGCGAGAAAAGCAGAGATGACGCGCTGGAGGCCATTAAAGGGAACCTGGATGGGTTTTCCAGAGATGCTAAGCTCCACCCCACGCCAACGTCGCATCCCAAAAATGCAGGTATTCAATTTTCCTAAGGAAATGCCCCAAATGGAAATCGGATGATCGTAGTTTTGGGGTTATAAAGACATTGTAAGGCTTTGATTTGCATGTTTGGAAGGATAGCCACGAAAGCTGACTCCTCAACTTTCCAGTTTCTTCTTTTGATTATTATTTTGAAGCCAAACTCCCTGTTTTCCTCCATTGACTTCCATTTTGTGTGTCCTTCTATGTGCGTGTGTGTGTGTCTTCATTCCATTTTGCAGATCACCCCACACCATCCCATTCTGCTGTGTCTGTCTCCCAAACCTCTGCCTTTCTTGACGACGAGGAGTTTAGTGACTTTATTCAGGGGCCCGTTGAAGCCCCGACCTCGGTGCCTCCGACCTCTTCCCAGCCTTTCCGGCCTTGCCCTCCTTCCTCCCAGGCTGGGCAATGGCTTTCAGAGAAGGCTGTGGCCCAGGCTCTCCCTCCAGTCCAGCTTCCTGTGTCCTCCACCCTTCAGGGTGCCACTGGGCAGGGTCCTTCTCTCTCTGCTTCTCCGGCTTCTCAAAACACTCAGAAAACAGGTAACATGGCGTATCTTTCAGGGGGTATTTTACACTAAATGGATCCATTTAGTCTGTGGAAAAAGCAAGTCTCACTAGACCAGCATTGCTCAACCTGGGGGTCAGGACCCCTTGGGAGGGGTCACGAGGGGATATCATAGTGGTCCCCAAAAATCATAAGAAAACACAGAATTTTCTGTTCGTCATAGGGGTTCTTTGTGGGATGTTTGGCCGAATTCCATTGTTGATAGGGTTCAAAATGTTCTTTGATTGGAGGTGAACTATAAATCCCAGCAACTACAACTCCCAAATGTCAAGGTCTAGTTCCCCCAAACTCCATCTGTGTTCATATTTGGGCATCTTGAGTATTCGTTCCAAGTTTGGTCCAGATCCATCATTGTTTGAGTCCCCAGTGATCTCTGGATGTTGGTGAACTACAACTCCCAAACTCAAGGTCAATGCACAACAAACCCTTCTAGTGTTTCATGTTGGTCATGGGAGTTCTGTGTGCTACGCTTGGTTCAATTCCATCATTGGTGGAGTTCAGAATGCTCTTTGATTGTAGGTTAATTATAAATCCACCAACTCCAACTTCTAAATGACAAACTCAATTTTTTTGAGTAATGGTCACTCCTTGGGTTAGTAGGTGTCTTGTGGCCAAATTTGGCAGCAATTCGCCCAGTGGTTTTTGAGTTATTTTAATTCCACAAACAAACATTACATTTTTATTTATATAGATACTATTACTATTTATTATTGTATTGTAGTATTATTATATTTTATAGTATTATTATTATTATTATTATTATTATTATTATTATTATTATTATTGTAATACTGAACTTAATGTCAGGGAAAAACCTTTACCTGTACTAATAGTATTATATAAGCATATTATTATATATTATTACTATTTATTATTGTATTGTAATATTATATTTTATAGTATTATTGTTATTATACTGGACTTAATGTCAGGGGAAAACCTTTACTTTTACTAATAGTATTATATAATTATATAAATAATACTATTTATTATTATATGATATATAATATATATTAAATAATACTATTTATTATTGTATTGTAGTATTATTATATTTTATAATAATATTATTATTATACTGGACTTAATGTCAGGGGAAAATCTTTACCTTTAGTAATATTATATAATTATATATTATTACTATTTATTATTGTATTGTAGTATTATATTTTATAGTATTATTATTATTATACTAGACTTAATGTCAGAGGAAAACCTTTACCTTTACTAATATTATATAATTATATATTATTACTATTTATTATTGTATTGTAGTATTATATTTTATAGTATTATTATTATTATACTAGACTTAATGTCAGGGAAAACCTTTACCTTTACTAATATTATATAATTATATATTATTACTATTTATTATTGTATTGTATTATTATATTTTATATTATTATTATTATTATTATTATTATTATTATTATTATTATACTGGACTTAATGTCAGGGGAAAACCTTTACCTTTACCTACCTATCTGAGTCCACACTCAGATAATGTGGGATTTTCTGCCTTGATATTCTGGGATATAGGGTTGTGTGGAAGGGCCCAGAGAGACAGACAAACAAAGTGGGCAATGGGGGAAGAGCTTTCCCTGTCAGCTAACACATATGCCTTTCTATTTCCTTGATGAGGACTATAAACTTGTGCAGGATGTGGTTGAGTTCCAAGACAACCACGTAGAAATTAACCCCTCCTTTTGTTTGTCCAGGCCCCTCCATGGAAGAGATGCCCCCACTGCCTGGTGGGTTGGGCGCATGTGGGCCAAGTGGGCTCACGGTTGAGCTGAGTGCCGCAGCCTCGGCTGTCAGCCGCACTGATCCTGGGTTAGCCGCCAGTCACTGGACGGCTGTAGAGGGGCTCCCACTTGGGGCCCCAACTCCAGAGGCAAACAAGGCTTCAGAACAAAGCCTGTCAGTTGAAGAGAGTGGTGAGCAAACATATGCCGTTGGCAAAGCGTATGCTCAGATACTGCTTGCACGCGCTAATCTCTTAACACGAGCATTGGATGATCCTTGCTTGAGTAATCACTGTCAAGCGCCTCTTCTAACATATACATAACGTCAGCAAGAGTTTGTTTGGACTGTTCAACACTCTTTATAACCCCTGTTTTCCAAATGGGATGAATCTAACAAACTATTTTGAATACAATTCAGCCTGGTCTTGTTTCGGCCTATTTCCGCCCCCTTCCCAATCTGGCATGCTTTTGTTGTGAGTCTTATCCTGTGTGTTGTTAACTCTTTGGGTGGGATATAGGAATCTCATCCCTGGAAATATCACTATTGGATACAGTCCATTGTGTAGGTGATGATTGGCACACAAAAGTCATTCATCACAAGGAATATACCGTATATACTCGAATATAAGCCGACACGAATATAAGCCGAGGCACCTAATTTTACCACAAAAAACTGGGAAAATGGATTGACTCGAGTATAAGCCGAGGGTGGGAAATGCAGCAGCTACATTTATAGATACAACTAATATTACAATATAATGGTATAGTGCAATATAGTAATATATAATACTGATATTGTACTATGCTAACAATATAATATATTGTATTGTCAAAGACTTTCATGGCCGGAATCACTGGGTTGTTGTAGGTTTTTTCGGGCTGTATGGCCATGGTCTAGAGGCATTCTCTCCTGACGTTTCGCCTGCACTTTGGCAAGCATCCTCAGAGGTAGTGAGGTCTGTTGGTTTGTACACCATCTATTTCTATATACAGTGTTCCCTCACTTATCACAGGTGTTACGATCCAGGACCACCCGTGAAAAGTGAAAATCCACAAAGTAGGGACACTGTATTTATTTTAATATTTATGCATTATTTTAGCATTCAGGGGAAAACCTGTTCCTTTACTTTATAATCAAAATCCGCCACCTTAGTTGAGCAGCAACTTTTAGAAAGTGTTCCACTTCCATTGGTCATATATAAGAAGTGTTCACGCACACATGCGCAGTCTAGCACTAATGCTTCCTTAGCTGCCTCTGCTACGAGTCCATCCAATAAACGCCTCTAAAGCCACTTCCGGGGCTGTGGTAGCGCAGTAGGTCGTACTTTGTGACCAGAAGATCTTCCCCGCCGCACCTCAGTCCCGGCCTGCACACCAGCCTCCCTTTCTGAGGCCTATTGGCCGCCAGGCAGAGCTGCTCACCATCCACCACTGTTTAAATAATGTAAATATTTTACATTAATATTTATTTAAAAACCGTGAAGCAGTGAGTCCGCAAAAAGCAAAGCGCGAAGTAGCGAGGGATTAATATAGGTGATCTTTCTCCTAAGGGTTGCTGTCATTTGTCATGGACTTTACCAGAATTTGATAAAACGAGTAGAGTTAAATCTTAAACATTATTTATTTATTTATTTATTTGCAGAATTTATATACCGCTTTTCTCATCTCAAGGGGGACTTAAACTGGTTTACACACAGATAATGGCAAAATTCAATGCCATACAACTACAATAACAAAACCACACATTATACATAAGTCATATTAACACAGTACATCACCAAATATCAAAAACTACTATTAAAACCATGTGACAGCAGAATGGCAAAAAAAATGGTTCCCTGTGATTCCCAACCTCTAGTCTTTCCTGATGTTTTGGACTTTGGCTCCCAGAAGCCTCAGCTACCTTTGCCAGCCAGAGGCATTGTAGGCCACAGAACTCTCCTAAATATTGTCTCTCGTTGTGTTGTGTTGTCAGGTGTCGGCGTGTTTCCGTCACAGGATGCTATCCAGCAGCTGATGCCCCCATGGATTTACAATGACACCCTAGTTCCAGGTAATGATGGCAGCTTTGGGTTGCTGTAAATTGTTCAGGCTGTCTGGCCATGTTATAGAAGCATTCTCTCCTGACATTTCGCCTGCATCTATGGCAAGCATCCTCAGAGGTGGTGAGGTCTGTTGGAAACTAGGCAGGTGGGGTTGATGTCCAGGGTTGGAGAAAGAACTCTTTTGTGTGTTGGAGGGAGGTGTGAATGTTTCAATTGGCCACCTTGATTAGCATTTAATGGCCTAGCGGTTTCAAGGGGTGGCTTCTTACTGCCTGGGAGAATCCTTTGTAGAGAGGTGATTATCTGTCTCTGGTAGTTTCTTGTCTGGAGTTCCCCTGTTTTTGAGTGTTGTTCTTCATTTCCTGTTACGATTTTAGAGGGTTTTTTAAAAATACTGGGAGCTTTGTTTCTTAATATGAGCCTTTGATGGATGTGGAGGCCTGGCAAGCAGAGCATGACGTGCTGTGCTGAATCCTGGCTGAATTTGAAATCCAGTTTTGCTGCTATTGTTGTATTTGGGCTCGGCCTCTTTTAAGCCGCACCAAGTCCTTCAGGAGATGGTAGCGGGGTACAAATAAAGGATTATTATTATTATTATTATTATTATTATTATTATTATTAAGGGTGTCTTTTTGACCAGGATGGTAAAAACAGAAGCATGTAATGAATTTTATCAGAAGGAACTTCTTTCTCTGACAGATCTGTACAAGAAAATCCTAGAAACGACCATGACGCCTTCTGGGATTGACACTGGCAAGCTGTATCCCATTCTGATGTCATCCGGGCTTCCCAGAGAGACTCTTGGGCAAATATGGGCCTTAGCTAACCGCACCACTCCTGGGAAGCTGACTAAGGAAGAACTGTATGCTGTCCTGGCTATGATCGCAGTAACTCAGGTAAGCTTTGGATCTATCATGTGAAATCAAGCTCTGGGAAGATCCCAAACCTAGAACCAGCCCTATCATTAGGCAGAATATACAGTGTCCCTTCATTTATGAAATGACTGGAAATCAAAACACAAACAACAATAAGATAAATTAGAGAAAACATAAAATGTAAGAACACAGTAAACAAAAATAAAGTTACAATAAAATCATTCATAACATAAAATAGTATAGTGAGCGGGGCCACCTGTACAGACTAACATACTAATGCTAAAAACACGGCTAAAAACACAGGGTGAGACAACAATGGAGCAAATTATTTGTGGGGGAGAAACTTTCCGAAGTGGAGTCGAAAAAGAGCCTTCGTACAGAAGAGGAGGGGGTATGCACTAAAGACAGATATTGAGGAATAACAGTCATATGGGATGGTATTATTAATTTCCAAAAGCACTGCAAAACACCCAGGTTTTGAGGTTCTTCTTAAAACTTTCTAGAGTAGGGGCTCGTTTAATCTCACTGGACAATGTAGTGCATAGTCGGGGAGCCACTGAGGAAAAGGCTCTCTCCCTTGTTCCCACAAGGTGGGCCTGAGATAATGGTAGGGGCGAAAGAAGAGCCTCCCCTGAGGATCAGAGGGGTCGGGCAGGTTCATGGAGGGAGATACGGTCATGAAAATAGGCGGGTCTCAAACCGTTTAGGGCTTTGTAGGTGATGACCTGTACCTTGAATTGGGACCAGAAGATAAACGGCAGCCAATGGAGCTCTTTAAACAGGGGTGGGGGGGGTGGGGTTGACCGCTCCCTGTGGTTCGCCCCCGTTATTAGTCTGGCTGTCGAACATTTAACAAATTGAAGTTTCCAGGCCGTCTTCAAGGGTAGCCCCACATAGAGCGCATTGCAGTAGTCCAATCTAGAGATAACTAAGGCATTGACCACTGTGGTCAAGTCCGACTTCACAAGGTATGGTCACAGTTGGCGCACAAATTTTAAGTGTGTGAAAGCCCACAGCTGACACTTGAGCATCAAGCATCAGCGCTGACTCTAGAAGGACTCCCAAACTGCAGACCTGTGACTTCAGGGGGAGTGCAACCCTGTCCAGCACAGGTTGCCACCCAATACCCGCATAAGCAGTTTATGTTCGCTTGGCTTTGCAAAACTTGCTTATTGCTTTGCTTCCTTCTTTAGACACCTTTGTAGATTCAATCAGTTTATTTTATATTCAGACGAAGACTGCTACAGACAGCTATTTTGGGTCCTTCAGCCATTTCGGCTAATGAGCAGGCGTGCATTGTGGGAAATGTATTTTAACAGCGGGGCCTTTTGCAATCTCTTCCATTGTGGGCCTGGCCTTCACAGACTACAACAATGGCTGTGCTTAGCCACGCCCACCTCATCTCTCCCTTGCGTCGCTGGGGGAGGGAAAGCATGAGATTTCAAAACTTTTAAAGCTCTGCCAAAGTTACTTAATGGTTGTGAAAGTTAAAATAACCTTGGGAGACATTTCAACATTATAGAATATTTCTGAAAAATAGATAAGTGGTCCAAATTTGGATCCCCCCCCCCCTTTCCTGCATGGTTCAAAACTGCTTCGGAAACCCAAATTCCGACTTTCAGGCTCTTCCGAACAAACCGATCCAACTCTATGCTGGCCACATGACTTTGAAGGTGTCTATGGACAATGCTGGCCCTTTGGATTAGAAATGGAGATGAGCACCAACCCCCAGAGTTGGACACGACTTTACTCAATGTCAAGGGGAAACCTTTACCTCTATGATACTGAAAAATGACCAGAATTGTGGTGTCACCAGTTGCTTTTTCTCTCCCCAGAGGGGTGTTCCAGCCATGAGCCCGGAGGTTTTAAACCAGTTTCCTTCTGCCCCAATCCCTACGCTAAGTGGGCTTCAGATGGCGATCCCGGTCACCGTGAGCCAGCAGCCTCTGATGCCGCCAGTGGTGCCTGTTTCCATGCCTCTTAGCATGGGGCCGGCGGTTGTGGGGATGGGCATGGCCGCAACGACGACCCAGGCTCCCAGTACGTTCATGCAGTCCTTTCCACCAAACCAGGTTTGTGAAATACAGAATTGCCTTAATAACCTGAAATTAGAACCAAAGTCTGACAGGATCTCATGGTTTCGTATAATCCAGGCAGCCAAACAAGAGGAGGATGACTTCCAGGATTTCCAAGACGCTTCGAAGTCGGGAGGGCTTGACGACACCTTCCCAGATTTCCAAGGGGAAGCGTCCAGATCGAGCAAGGCGACTGCAGCCCAACACCGGAGCAGGTAGAGAAAAATAGTTTGAAATAATATCTTCGGTACAATAGATATCAAAAAGTTATTTGAAACCTTCACAGGCTTTACCAGTAGTAACATAGCCAAATAATCTTGTCCCTTACCTGATATTTATTTATTTATTTACGACATTGTATGCTGCCCTTCTCACCCCGAAGGGGATTTAGAGCAGCTTACAAGAGATATATACATATAATAATAATAATAATAATAATAATCATCATCATCATCATCTTTATTTGTACCCCGCTACCATCTCCCCAAGGGACTCTGTGCAGCTTACATGAGACCAAGCCCAAAGTACATCAGACAAAACATCAATAAACACAACATCAATAAACAATCAATAAAATACAAATCATATAAATCACATAAACAAAAAACAATCAATAGTGACATAAACAATTTAAAAAATGGCCGGGCCAAATGTAATAGATTAAAATTGAAAATATGCTGATGTGAACAAGGTAAAATATAACTAGGATAGGATTTTTCGGAGATAAATGAGGGAGCACAGTCCATCCTAAGTCAGTATTAAAGTGCATTGTGAGGCCATATTGCTGAGACTTCTCCTTATTCTGGGAAGGCACACTGGAACAACCATGATCTTATTATAGGACATTTGGGCCGGGCTATAGCACAGCTGGTAAATCACCACTACCAGCAATAAGATCTACCAACTGAAAGGCTGCCAGTTCAAAGCCCGGGTTGGGGTGAGCACCCGGCTGTCAGCCCAGCTCACTGTTGACCTAAGCAGTTCGAAAACAGACAAAAGTCCTTTGTCTCACCCTGATCATTCCACAGATATATAAACCCATTTTTCCTACTTCCAACAGACCTCACTACCCCTGAGGATCCTTGCCATAGATGCAGGTGAAACGTCAGGAGAAAAAATGCCTCCAGAACATGGCCATATAGCCCGGAAAAACCTACAACAACCCAGTTCAAAAACAGCTTAGAGAAATTAGGTTCCGGGAGGTAGTTAGGAGCGGCTTGCAAGATATATACCCATACAATATATTATATTATTAGCATAGTACAATATTAGTATTAAATATTACTATATTGTACTATACCATTATATTGTAATATTATTAGTAATATTACATGTAATATAAAATATATAATTATAATATCATTTTACTATTAGTATTATATTGTTTTACACTGTAATATTATAAATATGATATGCGACAAGATTAGATCAGATCTAGATCAGTGTTTCTCCACTTTCCAAATGCTGCAACCTCTTAATACAGCTACTCATGTTGTGATGATTCCCAACCATAAAATTATTTTTGTTGCTACTTCATAACTGTCATTTTGCTACTGTTGTGAAGCATAATATAAATATCTGAGATGCAGGATGTATTTTCAGTCACTCGACCAAATTTGGCACAAATACACTCAAATTTGAATACTGGTGGAGTTGGGGGGATTGATTTTGTCATTTGGGAGTTGTAGTTGCTGGGATTTATAACTCACCTACAATCAAAGAGCATTCTGAACTCCACCAACGATGGAATTGAACCAAACTTGGCACACAGAACTCCCATGACCAACAGAAAATACTGGAAGGGTTTGGTGGGCATTAACCTGGAGTTTGGGAGTTGTAGTTCACCTACATCCAGAGAGCTCTGTGGACTCAAATAGTGATGGATCTCAATCAACCTTAGCACAAATACTCAATATGCCCAAATATATACACTGGTGGAGTTAGTTGCTGGGATTTATAGTTCACCTCCAATCAAAGAGCATGCTGAACCCCACCAATGATAGAATTGAGCCAAACTTCCCACACAGAACTCCCATGACCAACAGAAATACTGTGTTTTCTGATGGTCTTTGGCAAACCCCACAGGGGTCCCAACCTTTCTGCTGCCCTGGAGACGAGGATGCAGAACAATGGCTTCAAACTACAAGAAAGGAGATTCCACCTGAACATGAGGAAGAACTTTATGACTGTGAGAGCTGTTCAGCAGTGGAACTCTCTACCCTGGAGTGTGGTGGAGGCTCCTTCTTTGGAGGCTTTGAAACAGAGGCTGGATGGCCATCTGTCGGGGGTACTTTGAATGCAATTTTTCCTGCTTCTTGGTAGAATGGGGGTGGACTGGATGGCCCACGAGATCTCTTCCAACTCTATCATTCTATGATTCTATGATCAGACTTGAGAATTGCTTCTCTCCTGATGTAGTTGTCAATGCTCTCCCTTTCTTTTAGTGCTCCTTCGATGCTGATTCCACTCTCCGGTGTGAAAGCCCCGCCTGCAGTGGACAAATACGCTGTTTTTAAAGGGATTTCTGCCGACAAACCTGCCGAAGCCGCAGCTCCTCTTGGAGGTACGGAGCCCCTTGTCTTGCTTATTGAGATGCTGCTTTCCAGCTTTATTTTTCTGAAAATCAAAATAAAACGACTACCCTGATTAATTTTTGCCGCCACAGTATGTGTGAACTTGAAGCTTTCCAACATGTAGCATTTTTTTAAAGCTTGAGTGGTGGAAATAAAAAAAAGATTTATTAAACAGACATTAACTATTGTCAGACTCATTGGGTTGTTGTGTATTTTCGGGATTGCCTGGCCATGTTCCAAAAGCATTCTTCAAATTTATGATACTATATCTGTCATGTGTGTGTGTGTGTGTGTGTGTGTGTGTGAATCAGATATATCTATATCTATGGCTGGATGGCTCTTTGTCAGTAGGGCTTTGATTAGCTGTCCCCTGCCATGCATTGCTGTGGCCCAATCTGTGTATGCATGTGTTTCGTGTGTGTATGTATGTCTGTGTATATATGTATATATGTGGTTTTGCGCATGCATTGTAATTTTTTTTTTGCGTTTTATTTATGTATTTATTTATTACTAGCCATCCCCTGCCACACGATGCTGTGGCCCAGTCTATATATATGTGTTTTGTGTGTGTATATATATGTATATTATTTATTTATTTATTTATTTATAACTTTTATATACCGGTCTTCTCGACCTCTAGAGAGGGACTCAGGCCGGTTTACAACACGTTTCAAAAACAGTAGTTTAAAACATCACACCATATTACACACTAATACATAAAATACATTAAAAGCAATCATATAATTATATGTGTGGGTATATATATTTGTGTATATGTGTATATGTGTGTATTTATATGTGGTTTTGCATGTGTTGTAATGCATTTTTTTTTGTTTTTGACTTTTAAAGTTTCTTCTGCTTTGTTTTGCAGTGTTTTTATGAGTGATGGTCACTTGTTGGCCTGATAGGTGTATTGTGTCCAAATTTGGTGTCAATTCGTCCTGTGGTTTTTGAGTTATGCTAATCCCACAAACGTACATTACATTTTTATTTATATAGATGTACAACATTTATATGCCACCCTCTCTCACCCCGAAGGGGACTCAGAGCGGCTTACAAGTAATAAGTAAATACAATATATTATATTATTACCATAACACAATATTAGTATTATATATTACTATATCGTACTATACCATTATACTGTAATATTATTAGTGATATTACACGTAATATAAAATATATAATTATAATATCATATTATTATTTTTATTAGTAGTATATTGTATCACATAATATTATCAATATTATATGTATACACAATATATATTATACCAGCCATCCCCTGCTATGTGTTGTTGTGGCCCAGTCTGTATATATGTGTTTTCTGTGTGTATATATGTGTATGTATGTATATGTGTATATATGTGGTTTTGCGCATACGTTGTAATGTATTTTTTATTTTTGCCTTTTAAAGTCCCTTCCTCTATGTTTCTCAGTGTTTTTATAAGTGATGGTCACTTGTTGGCCTGATACGTGTATTGTGTCCAAATTTGGTGTCAATTCGTCCAGTGGTTTTTGAGATATGTTAATCCCACAAACTAACATTACATTTTTTATTTACATAGATTATATTGTACTACCTTCCGCTGTGTTTTTCAGTATTTTTATGAGTTACTCGTGGGCCTGAGAGGTGTCTTGTGCCCAAATTTGGTGTCAATTCATCCAGTTGTTTTTGAGTAATGTTAATCCAATAAACTAACATTACATTTTTATTTATATAGATGTTCACTTGTTTTGTTTTATCTGGATTGTTGTATTTGAGGATCCTTTTATTTTTATTGTTTTTATTTTAATGGATTGTTTTGCTTTTCTGTCTGTAGGACTTTCTGTCTCATATGTAAGCCACCCCGAGTCCCTTCGGGGAGATGGTGGCAGGGCATAAGAATAAAGTTGTTGTTGTTGTTGTTATGATTATTAACAAAATTGCCATTTAAAAGGCCTTCCTGAACTTCTTGACTCTCCAGAGAGGAATCGATTGCTACTCAGTGTGAACAACACTGAGCTAGATTAATAAATGATTTAATTAGGAAGCGTTCTAATCCAGTTCTCTTTCCCCAAAATTCTGTACACCCTATAGATTCAGGAGACAAATACAGCGCTTTTCGAGAGCTGGAACAGCCGTCGGAGGTTAAACCTATAGGTAAGTGTGTCACTTGTATGCGATCCTTCCTATCTTTCATTCCTGCCAGAGTTGGTTTTGATATTTCACCGCTTTTAACCTTTTCACCAGCTTCCATTTCTAATGGAAAGGTTTTCAGTCTGCCAGTAAGTTGAGTTTTGTTTGACATGTGTCATTTTGGGTTACCATCAGTTTCACAATTTTTAAACTGGAGTTTATGCCATGTTCCAAGAAATCATGTTCAACTAACCAGAGTTATCTTTATTATATACTCAGTACTTAATTCTTCTTGTTGTGGTCTGAGAAGAGTGGTATACAAATATAGTAAATAAAAAAAAAATTATCCCCTGTCCTCTTTCACCCCGAAGGCTTACAAGTTACATGTACATACAATATATTATAGTATTAGCATAGCACAATATTAGTGTTATATATTACTATATTGTACTATACCACTACATTGCAATATTATTAATAACATTACATGTAATATCTAATTATTATATTATTCTGTTGTATTATTATTAGTATTGTATTATATCACAATGTTATGATCATTATTATATGTACATACAATATATTATACTATTAGCATTGCACACTATTAGTGTTATATATTACTATATTGTACTATACCACTATATTGCAATATTATTAGTAACATTAACTGTAATATATAATTACAATATTATTGTATTGTATTATTAGTATTGTATTGTATCACAATATTATGATCATTATTATATGTACATACAATATATTATATTATTAGCATAGCACAATATTAGTATTATATATTACTATATTGTACTATACTACTATAATGCAATATTATTAATAACATTACATGTAATATATAATTATTATATTATTATAGTGTATTATTAGTATTGTATTGTATCACAATGTTATAATTATTATTATATGTGCATACAATATATTATATTACTAGCATTGCACATTATTAGTATTATATATTACTATATTGTACTATTGTACTATATTATATTATTATATTGTATTATTAGTATTGTATCACAATGTTATGATCATCATTATATATACATACAATATATTATATTATTAGCATTGAACACTATTAGTATTATATATTACTATATTGTACTATACCACTATAATGCAATATTATTAGTAGTATTATTTGTAATATATAATATATAATAGTTACATTATTATATTGTATTATTAGTATTATGTTGTATTACATTATAATGTTATAACCAATATTATATGTACACACAATATTATATTAGTAGCACAGGTCAATATTAGTATTATACATTACTATATTGTACTATACCACAACAATGCAATATTATTAGTAATATATAATATACAATTATTATTTATTTATTTATTACTGCGCTTGTATACCGCTGTTTCTCAACCTACATTGGCGACTCAACGCGGTTTACAACACTACAATAATCAACAATATTCAATATAAAAAGCATAAAAACACATACATAATATACAATATTGGGCCACCAATATCGAACCAATGCATCTCTTAGTTAAAAACGCAGTCCAATTTCATCGTCTGTGATTACCAGTCCTTGATCGTCAGATTCGTTGCACCGTGTTAACCGAATGCTTGTTCGAACATCCATGTCTTCAGTCTTTTTCGAAACACCACCAGCGAGGGGGCTGATCTTACCTCTATGGGGAGGGCGTTCCATAGCCGCGGGGCCACCACAGAAAAGGCCCTGTCTCTCGTCCCCGCCAGCCGCACCTGTGAAGCAGGCGGGATAGAGAGCAGGGCCTCCCCAGAAGATCTTAGGGTCCTGGTGGGCTGATAGGCCGAGATACGTTCGGATAGGTAAGTTGGGCCAGAACCGTTTAGGGCTTTAAAGGCCAACGCCAGCACTTTGAATTGAGCCCGGTAGCAAATCGGCAGCCAGTGGAGCTGGTGCAGCAGAGGAGTTGTATGCTCCCTGCGCCCGCTCCTGTTAGTATCATGGCTGCCGCCCGTTGGACTAATTGGAGCTTCCGAGCCGTCTTCAAAGGCAACCCCACGTAGAGAGCGTTGCAGTAGTCAAGACGGGATGTAACCAGAGCGTGGACTACCGTGGCCAAGTCAGACTTCCCAAGGTACGGTCGCAGTTGGCGCACAAGTTTTAACTGTGCGAATGCTCCCCTGGTCACCGCCGAAACCTGGGGTTCCAGGCTCAGCGATGAGTCCAGGATCACACCCAAACTGCGAACCTGCGTCTTCAGGGGGAGTGCGACCCCGTCTAACACAGGCTGTAACCCTATACCCTGTTCGGCCTTGCGACTAACCAGGAGTACCTCTGTCTTGTCTGGATTCAATTTCAATTTGTTCGCCCCCATCCAGACCGTCACAGCGGCCAAGCACCGGTTCAGGACCTCGACAGCCTCCTTAGTAGCAGGTGGAAAGGAGTGACAGAGTTGGACATCATCTGCGTACAGATGACATCGCACTCCGAAACTCCAGATGATCTCGCCCAGCGGCTTCATGTAGATGTTAAACAACATGGGAGACAGTATTGAACCCTGAGGAACTCCACAGGACAAAGGCTGTGGAGTAGAACAGGAGTCTCCCAGTAACACCTTCTGAGACCGACCCTCAAAGAATGAGCGGAGCCACTGCAGAACAGTACCTCCAAGACCCATCCCCGCGAGGCGTCCCAGAAGGATACCGTGGTCGACGGTATCGAAGGCCGACTGAGAGGTCGAGCAGCACCAACAGGGACACACTCCCCCTGTCGAGCTCCCGACGCAGATCATCCACTAAGGCGACCAAGGCTGTCTCGGTACCATGCCCCGGCCTAAAGCCAGACTGTGCCGGATCCAGATAATCCGTGTCTACCAAGAATGCCTGGAGTTGTGAGGCCACCACACGTTCCATGACTTTGCCCAAAAAGGGGAGATTGGAAACAGGCCGATAGTTGACGAATTGAGTGGGGTCCAGTGATGGTTTCTTCAACAGCGGTTTTATCACAGCTTGCTTTAAGCTGGCTGGAATTTTGCGCCTTCCCGAAGGGAGGCATTAACCACCACCTTCACCCACTCGGCCAATCCCCCTCTGGCCTCCTTCAGAAGCCAGGATGGGCAGGGGTCTAGGATGCATGTGGTAGCTCTCATTCCTCCAAGCACCTTGTCCACATCCTCGGATTGAACCAATTGAAATGAATCCATCAAAACTGGACAAGCAGATGCTCGTGTTACATCCTCAGAGACTGCCGTTAATATGGTATCCAGTCCAGAGCGGATCAAAGCGACTTTGTCTGCAAAGAACTGAGCAAAAGCTTCACAGCGAGCTGCCGAGTCATCAGGGCACCCATCCTGAGTGGTGGGTTTTAACAAGCCTCTGACAACTCGGAACAGTTCAGCCGGACGGTTCTTTGCAGACGCAATAGTGGCCGCAAAGAAAGTCTTCTTTGCGGCTTTTATTGCCGCGGCATATGCCCTTAGAAAGGACACAAACCGTGTTCGATTTGGCTCGCTCGGATCCGAACGCCACACGCTCTCTAGTTCCCTCTTCTTTCGCTTCAACGCTGCCAGTTCCTCGGTAAACCAAGGGGCTGGTTTAGCTCGGCTACTTGAGAGGGGACGTTCTGGAGCGATCGTGTCTATTGCCCTAGTCATCTCCCCATTCCAGAGAGCGACCAGAGCATCAACAGGATCACCAACCGAGGTGGCGGGAAATTCCCCAAGAGCCGTCAGGAATCCATCCGGATCCATAAGCCTCCTGGGGCGGACCAGCTTAATGGGTCCTCCACCTCTGCGGAGGTTAGGAGGTGCAGTGAGTCTAAAGCTGACCAGGTGGTGGTCGGTCCATGGCAACGGAGAGATGGATAACTCCTCAACACCGCCACCTTCCTCCCATCCCTGGCAGAAAACCAAGTCCAATGTATGTCCAGCACTGTGGGTGGGGCCAGATACCTGTTGGGACAGCCCCAAGGTTGCCATGGTAGACATGAAGTCCTGAGCCGCTCCCGATAAGGTAGTCTCGGCATGGACATTGAAGTCCCCCAGCACAAGCAGCCGTTGGGACTCCAATGCCAGGTCCGAGACCACCCCCGCTAGCTCAGGCAGGGAGACTGTAGTGCAGCGAGGTGGACGGTACACTAACAGAATCCCTAATCTGTCCCGGTCACCCACCCTCAGGTGGACGCATTCAAAATTTGTTGACTGCGGGATGGGGGCCCTGGGGTTATGTTGTATTGTTATTAGTATTGTATTGTTATTATGTTGTATTGTTATTAGTATTATATTGTATTTCATTCTAATATCATTATGAATAGTATACATACATACAATATATTATATTATTAGCATAGCACAATATTAGTATTACATATTACTATATCGTGTCTTGGGGGAGGGGCTCCTAATTTCTGACTGGCATATTCCTCTGCAGACTTGTTAACATCATAAAAATTGTGAAACTGACTTGTTTTGTGTGTGCGTGTGTGGTGGCAATTTGAATTAATGGGTTTTTTAAATCCTGAAAAAAATGCTGTGTGTGCATACAAGAGGAAAAGATAGGGATTGCATTGTGCTCTGTCTTAAGTCAGGCCTGCACAACTCGGCAGTAGTAAGGGGCCAAAATTAAATAGGGTAATTCTCTTGAGGCTGCATATAGATTATTTTCCGAGTAAGGCATAATTAAGAATTAATTGGGACTGCTCTTGTTGTGTGCCTTCAAGTGGTTTCAGACTTTGAGTGGCCCTCTCACAGAGTTTTCTTGTCAAGACTTATTGAAAGGGGACTTGCCTTTATCTTCTTCTGAGGCTGAGAGAGTGGCACTTGCTTAAAGTCACCCAGCTATAGCCTGAGGTTCAAACCACTATGCCATGCTTTATGAAGTATGAATTCCTTCCATCTTTTTCCTACCTATTTTTCTTTTCTTCTTCCCTTTCTTTTTCCTACCTCTCTTTCTTTTTCATTCTCCCTTCCTTTTCTCCTTCCCTCTTTTTCCTCCCCTTTCCTTCTTCCTTTCCTTCCCCCCCCCCTTCCAATCCCAGTGGTGGGAGGTGAAAGCGTTCTGCGGGCCACATGTTGTGCAGGTCTGGTCTAGGTAATGAAGGCCTATTTAAAAATAGAAAATTCTGTATAATTACGAGGGTTATCTGGAAAGTAAGGTTACAAGGCACATAGCTCTCGCAGGGAATTTTCTTGGGGGAAGTTGGTATCACTGCTGTGTAGCGAGAAGCCAGTGGAAGCAAACAAGCAGTGCCAGTTGTCAGTAGCTCATCAACTGGCATTATGATGAAAGGTAGAAATGAGCATCCTCACTCCAATTCCCTCCAAGTGCAAAGTTCGCACTGTACTAGGATTATCTGGAAAGTTAGGTTACGAGGCACATAGCTCTCGCAGGGAATTTTCCTGGGGGATGTTGGCATCACTTCCATGTAGTGGGAAGCCAGTGGAAGCAAATCAGCATTGCCAGTCGTCAGTAGCTCATCGACTGGCATTGTGGTGAAGGTTAGAGATGAGATTCCTCACTCCGTTTCCCTCCAAGTGCAAAGTTCGTACTGTACTAGGGTTGTCCCGAAAGTTAGATTACAAGGCACATAGCTCTTGCAGGGAATTTTCTTGGGGGATGTTGGCATCACTTCTGTGTAGCGGGAAGCCAGTGGAAGTAAACCAGCATTGCCAGTCGTCAGTAGTTCATCAACTGGCATTGTGGTGAAGCTTAGAGATGAGCATCCTCACTCCGTTTTCTTCCAAGTGCGAAGTTCGCACTGTAATAGGATTATCCAGAAAGTTAGGTTACAAGGCACATAGCTCTCGCAGGGAATTTTCTTGGGGGATGTTGGCATCACTTCTGTGTAGCGGGAAGCCAGTGGAAGCAAACGAGCAGTGCCAGTCGTCAGTAGCTCATCGACTGGCATTATGGTGAAGGGTAGAAATGAGCAAAGTTCGCACTGTACTAGGGTTAGGGTTAGAAATGTTAGGAGAGAATGCTTCTAGAACATGGCCATACAGCCCGAAAAACCTACAACAACATTCCAGATTAGCTATTGAAACTTAGCTTTCCATCTATCTTAGGACAGAAAAGAAAATGATCTAAATTTCAGCAATAATTTCAGAAATTATAGAATACAATTACATTTCCTTCCTTTCTCTTTGTTTAGGAGACAGCTTTGCGGAATTCAAGTCTGCGGGAACAGATGATGGCTTCACGGATTTCAAAACCGCAGACAGCATCTCCCCACTAGATCCTCCGACCAAAGAGAAGCCTTTCCCTCCGCCTTTCTCTTTACCTGCACAGCTGAAACCCCAACCGCAAGCAAAACCTTCTCTGAATTTGGCCGACTTGGATCTGTTTTCCTCAGCCTCTGTTGAGGAGAACAGACCCCCAGCCTTCCCGGCCTTCCCAGCCGCCTTTAATGCCGCCAAGCCCACGTCTGTCCCTGCAGCACCGCCTCCAGTCTCAGCCACTGCCCCAGTTTTGCCAGCGTCCAGTAACAATAGTTCCACCTTGGCTGATGACTTTGCGGACTTCAACCTCTTTGCAGGATTGTCCAATTGTACCTCGACCGTGACTCAGGATGAGTTTGCGGACTTCATGGCTTTCAATAACAATACCAGCGCTTCTGAGGAGCAGCAGCCGCCGCCTGATGATACATACAACACTCCCAAGTCAGAGGCCGGCGTGGCACCTCCAACGAATGCCCCCTTGGCTAACACTGCCAAAGGTGGGCAGAGTTCGGCCACTCCTTCGACCAAGTACGACATCTTCAAACAACTCTCTCTGGACAGTCCTGGTTTAGGCTTCGACGAGCTGAAAGACCCCATTCCATCGTCCGCAAAGAGCGAGGACGATTTTGCCGACTTCCACTCCAACAAGTTCTCGTCCGGCTCCGAGAAATCCCTGGTGGACAAACTGGCGGCGTTCAAGCACGCCAAAGAGGACTCGGCCTCCGTCAAGTCGTTGGACCTCCCCTCCATCGGGGGCAGCAGTGTGGGCAAGGAGGACTCCGAAGATGCCCTCTCTGCCCAGTTTGACATGAAGCTGGCCGACGTGGGGGGAGACCTGAAGCACGTCATGTCCGACAGCTCTTTGGATTTGCCGACCGTTAGCGGGCAGCATCCTCCAGCAGCAGGTGAGGAACTCGTTAGATTGCTCTGGTAGCCAAAGACGGCGGATCTAGATCCCAAAAGGTTGCTCTCGGAGCTGGATTGTCAGTATTACAATACGTACACGCTGGTTCTCCGGTGGGCGAAGGCTTCGGAACCTGTTTTGCTGCTAACCTCTTTTAACCAAGCAGTGTTACACCTTTTTTGTTGTCCGATTGTGATTTTTTAGGTTTGGTTGTTTTGTGGCAAACTGTACACTGCATAGTATTACCAACATCCTCTGAACACCTCCTGTTCTGGGCGAAATATTCCTCCATCACTCAGATGGATGGCTTCTCCTGAGGGGCTGTCTCACCTCTCAAAGATTTAGCTACCTTGGTGGTTCTCAACTGATGGATCCCCAGATGTTTTGGCTTTCAACTCCAGAAATCCTAACTGCTGGTGAACTGGCTGGGTTTTGTGGGAGTTATAGACCAAAACACCTGGGGACCCACAGGTTGAGAACCACTGAACTAGCTAGTTTGGAGTGTACCTCCTTTCTACTTCGGCTGGGCTGAAGGTTGTTCTTCTTTTGTCCTATCCTTGGGGATCGTTCATCCATTTCTGAAGATCTCTAAGATCCCAGAGTTGGAAAAAAATGATGTCCACTTACTCAATCATGCGGGACTGTCTGGTCCTTCCTTTTCGCTACAGGAGACAGGCAATATGTTTGGATTAAGAACCAAGTGGTAATTCGATGGTTAACGTCAGCAGTACAGTGATCCCTCACGTATCGCGGGTGTTCTGTTCCAGGACCACCCGGGATAAGTGAAAATCCACAAAGTAGGGATGCTCCGCCCACTTGAGTGGGCAGAGTGTCCCTATTTCATGGCGGCCCCCTCCTCCTCGCCAYCTCCACTGCTCCCTGCCTTGGAGGCCCCTTCCTTGCCAGGGTAGACGCCCAAGAGGCCTTTGAGGTGGGGTAGGGACACTCCGCCCACTCGGTGGTGGCCTTCTCCTCGCCGGCTCCACTGCTCCCCACCTTGGAGGCCCCTTCCCCTCCAGGCTGGACGCCCAAGGAGCCTCCGAGGCGAGGTAGGGATGCTCCGCCCACTCAGCGATGGCTTCCTCCTCCTCACCGCCTCCACTGTTCCCAACCTCGGAGGCCCCTTCCATGTCAGGCTGAGGCGGGGTAGGGACCGCTAAGGCTGGGTTGGGACACTCTGCCCACTCGGTGGTGGCCTTCTTCTCGCTGCCTCTGCTGCTCCCCGCCTTGGAGGCCCCTTCCTTGCCAGGCTGGATGCCCAAGGGGCCTCTGAGGCGGGGTAGGGACACTCCACCCACTCGGYGGTGGCCTCCTCTTCCTTGCCACCTCTGCTGCTCCCCGCCTTGGAGACCCCTTCCTGCCAGGCTGGACGCCCAAGGGGTAGGGATGCTCCGCCCACTCGGTGGTGGCCTCCTCCTCCTCGCCGTCTCCACTGCTCCCCGCCTCAGAGGCCCCTTGGGCACCCAGCCTAGCCAGGAAGGAATGAGGAGCAGCTATACAGTGTTCCCTTGCTGCTACCCGCGAAATGGCGAGTCCACAATAAGCGAACCGCGAAGTAGCGAGTGAACACTCTATTAGTCAGAATTTCAGTTTCATCTGGGATTTAATAGCAGCCCTTTCATATCTCATTTGAACCAAACTCATTAATATCAACTTAGCTGTGGGTAAGGAATGGGGGAGTGCATCACTATTATTTTCCTCACCGTTTCAGACAGGCTCAGGCATTAATATCTGTATGTATTTGGACATTCACGGAATAGTATATTTGCACAGATTGTCAGGCATGGCATGGGAGCCCTTATCCAAAAGCAAGTGTTTTGGAAAGGTGGGGGTAGCCTAATAAAAGTGACTTTTCAGTGGATCCCAGCTTTCCCTGGTGAAACAAAAACTAAAGGCGTTTTGGGATACTTTTGGAAAGGATGTGCCCCTCTTCACATAGCCGTTGGGGAATTCATGTCAATCTCATTCAACTTTATGAGCGTTCTTTCTTTGCTGGTGCGACAGGAGGTGTTTGGTGCTTTTACAGATTAGAGGAGAACTGTTGGATTTAACATTTTGTGGCCTTTGAAACTGGGGAAATGACGTTACCCCAATTTTAAAAAGTTCCCAAGTGTTACCCAATTGACGTTTTTTACGGCAAGAGCGGTATCGCTGCAAAAACCGCTTCCTTTGCCACAAAGAAGTGTTGGTTCTTTCTTTTTGGCCCACAGATCTTGGGTCGGGAGAACCATTACAGTACTGTAATCTTCTATTTTTAGGGAAGGAGCGGGGGAATCAGTCGGTGGCTTTGGGTGTGGAGAATTCCTCCTAACAGGGTGCGAAATATCAGGAATGATTCTTCTTCGGGAAGAATTGAACACTTTTTATATATGTTGAAAACATATGGTGTTGTGGGTTGTCCGGTCGCCCTGCACCTACAGTGGGAGCTGTTGGACATTTTTGTTCATTCCTTCCCCCCCCCCCCCCCCCAAAAAAAAAACAAACAAACACTTTTTCCTACTATTTTTCTAACCTGTCTCGGGTGGTAGATTTACCTTCATGGTGTTTATTTTCCAAGAGTGTGACGTCAGTAGCAATTCCGCGATTCAATTGGTGTCGAAGGGTCCTAAGGCTAAGTCGGCAGGTCCGTGTGTTTCAGTACGAAATGCTTTGAGTATCATTGTCAGGAAATTGTGTTGTATTATCGAAGGCTTGCAGGGCCAGAATCACTGGGTTGTTGTGAGTTTTCCAGGCTGTCTGGCCATGTTCCAGAAGCATTCTCTCCTGATGTTTTGCTTGCATCTATGGCAGGCATCCTCAGGGGTTGTGAGGTCTATTGGAAACTAGGAAAATAGGGTTTATATACCTGTGGAATAATGTCCTATCTCATTGTTTATTGGAGGTAGATGTGAATGTTTCAATTGGCCACTTTGATAAGCATTTAATGGCCTAGCAGTTTCAAGGTATGGCTTCTTACTGCCCTGGGGAATCCTTTGTTGAATAACATCCAGGGTGGGAGAAATTTATTTATTTATTTATTTATTTATTTATTGAAAGCATTTATATAGAAAGGATTCTTGTCTGCTCCAGGCAGGTGTGAGTGTTTACTTTCGATGCCGTGTTGTCCAACCTGTGGCCCTCCAGATGTTTGACCTCTAATTCCCAGAAGCTCCAACCCAGTTGTTCTCAACCTGGGGTCCCGAGATGTTTTTGGCCTTCAATTCCCAGAAATCCTAACAGCTAGGAAACTAGCTGGGATTTCTGGGAGTTGTAGGCCAAAAACATCTGGGGACCCCAGGTTGAGAACCACTGTCCAACCGTCTTTTCCAATAGCTAAGGATTCTGGGAACTGAAGTTCAAAACATCCAGAAGGCAACAAGTTTGACAGCTAATCAACAAAGGATTCCCCAGGACAGTAAGAAGCCACACCTTGAAACTGCTAAGCCATTAAATGCTAATCAAGGTGGCCAATTGAAACATTCACACCTTCCTCCAACAAACAAGACTTCTTTCTCCCACCCTGGACATTATTCTACAGGTATGTAAACGCGCAAAACAGCGAGTCGGCAAACCGCGAAGTAGCGAGGGAACACTGTAAACCCCATTTTCCTCGTTTCCAACAGACCTCACAACCTCTGAGGATATCTGCCATAGATCTGGGCGAAACGTCAGGAGAGAATGCTTCTGGAACATGGCCAGACAGCCCGGAAAACTCACAACAACAAAATTGTGTTGTTTTCTTTTAACGGAAATCATCTCCTGATCGAGTCTCTAGTGCCAAACCAAAGGGCCAACTTTGCCCGAATGCTTCCTGCCTCCCGGAAATGGTAAAGGGATTGGAAATGGGCCTATCTCTCTGCTCACAAATACATTCCTGCTCGCTGCTACACCAAAGTTAAGCAAAGTTGGTTACCTCCAACTAGTATCCGCTCTTAAGAGACATCTCAATCCTTGTCAAGGAATAGATCAATGCTGGTTGAAGGCCTTGGGAAAATTCAGCAGCGAGAGAAAAGGCTGCAAAAGATGACAATCCCTGAATCATGGTTAGGAGTCATGGAAGTATTACCTCTGCTAAGGCCTCGAGCCTCCTCCTCTGCCGTTTTTTTGGCCTCCTGTGAACTCTTATTTATTTGTTCAACCAGTTTTACTCTGCATATATATTTATATACATATGTGTGTATTTATTGGAAGTATTTCAGAATTGCTGGTGCCCAAATGTCTATATACCTTCCTTTGACATTTACCTGTTTTGAATCGATGTTTTCCTCATTGTTGTCTGTAAACAGAACAGTCAGAGAAGGGACAGTATCCCTTTTGATGTTCCTCGATTTGGACGAAACGGCTCTGTGGCTGGGAGTTTTCAGGGCGTCATGAGTAATGTTTTGAACACGGGGGATAAAAGTGTTTAGGGCGAGTTTTAAAGTCTTGCCACAGCGAGAATTCGTGGGAGAAGGTGAGTTATAGGACGAAACGCTTGGGAAAGAGTTGAGAAATCAAACGGTCTCAAACTCTCTAGGCGGGGTTGAGATACGAGAGACTTCTTTTCTAAGTATGTTCAAGGGGATACTGTCTCTTTAAACTTTTCCTCTTTCCTTTTTCATGTGGAAGGTAGTCCATAATGATATAGCATTGCTTGACTGTGCATTTTGGGTTTTTTTGCCACTAGCAAAATTGGAACCATCTACGCACTTGCTGCATGTTGTTTTCAACCAATGCCTCCACTACTTTTGTGCCAAATTCTTACTTTTTCTGCAATGCCTTTTCAATCTCAACCGTTTCGTTTTGGGGCCCTCCTTCCTGTTTCCGCCGTTTGTCCTCATGGATGCTTTTCTAACACTGCAGCCTTTCATTTCCAAGTAAACTGTGAGAAGATGACAATGGGTCGAATCGAATTTACAAACTGGTGGTACTTTTTCATCAGAAGATTCTTTGTAAATTGCAACCAGATGGAAATATTCCTCTTTCTTCTTCTCCTTCTTTTTCCCCTATCTTCTTTTCTTCCTCTCTGAGACCTCTAATTTA